GTGCGAAGTGAGTTGAGGGTTGTGTGGGCGTAAGTGGACTACCATGTACGTAAAGATATGCTTTGCACACGGCACGACAATGCGATGCCCGATCAGCGATCCTAAGGCTAGTTTGGCACTGTGTTTGAGCCCACAAGTTGCGCAGCCTAACGGATAGGACGGTCTACCAAGGCTCGGGCTTGAAAAGGCGTATGATGCACACATTCGGTGGAGCCAGATATCAAAAAGCAAGCATGCACGGATGCGAATGATCGGAGCCAGTTATGGCAAAAAGTTATGACAGGCTTGCGAGTAAAGCGAAAAAGGGGCCTGTTCAAATTTGCAACTGAAAAACAAGTTGGAAGCTGGCCACCTTGGGTAAGGGAACGTCTTGGGCGGCACTTTGCAGAGAGGGTTTATACCGAAATACAACTGCGGCAATTTTGCTACAAGGTGAGTAGGCACTACTTTGGTACGACACGCGTCACTTGCCGTTAGGGTGGATGTCGTATACCTACTTGATGAGCCTTGAATCAAATGAGAAATTGTCGGCGGTTTCCCTCCGCTGACATGTACGCACATGAATGCGCTGCTGGACATCAACCAACCGGTGATTTGCAAACTGCGAATTAGTGCACACCTAACTTAAGCATAACTGACACGCAAGTCGCTGCTCATCAACCCGTTAAACATGCGCTGAATATCCCAACCGTGTTTTATGTTCGCACCTGAGTAGCACTCCGTCGTTGCTGGACAGCTTTAGATGTCCGTTTCACCGCACCTTCCTCAGTAAAAGTACTTGGTCAGGAGAACCAAACCACCTACTTCCGAGTGGATTTGGTTGGCCAGTGCACCATACAGGGGGACAATGCCTCACTTCCTGCCTACGGTATTTGTAACCGCATGTCATGCGTTCACGAGAACAGTAACAGCCAATATCCTATATAATGCCAGTGAACATGTGATGCGCAATCGCAGCTGGCAGTACGATGGTGGAAAAACTGATAACGCTTAATATGTCTCTTAGGATAGTCGTAATGAAGCGGGAAAACTAAATGAGAAACGTGTCAATAAAATGGAATGTGAAGTGGTGATTCAACAGAAGTATTTGCTTAAAAACTGGCATAGGTTCATTTGGTTGCTACTAATCGCTCGCCATCACTTCACCTCATCTGGAGGAAGCAAGAACTTTGACAGAATAATTTATACCTGAAATCCTCTTTACAATTCCAAATGCGAGCATCAGGAGAGGAAGGATGTGGGATGACACTGTTTGGACAAGCGACCAACGCCGGTGCTTGAAAGGTTCATACGACTGGGCAAGTTTTGTGTGTCCGGATATTAAAAAAAGTCACAGGTGCATGACTAGGAATGATCGGGACATGCGTTAGCAAAATGCTATGACTACTTGCGAGTGAAGCGACAAAAGGGGCTTGCGCAAATTGCAACTGAAATACGGATTATAAAGTGGCCGTCATACTACGGCACTGCACCGAATATGAAGCGGGCTCAAGCGATTGCATTGTTTCACATTTGTTGGTCTTTACGCTGTCTCATGGGGCTGCAAATTAACTGGCTGTGTGACTAGCAAACTGCGCTTGTGCAGCCACAGTGCGAACAACATTGCCTTGTAGTTCAGTACGCTTGAATGACAAGTAAGCCGAACTCGTAAATGAGGTTACGGTAAATATCACAAGCTTTTGGTGTGTTCGACCCTAGGTTGTACACATTCATTACCCGTGACGAAATGACTCATGATAGAACACCGACAGCTTTGACTATCATTCTCAGTATCATTTTCTGCCACAAAAATATTTTATCGAAATGTGCAACATTTGGAAACAAAGAGGGTAGCGTTCTTGTGAACCAAAACCAAAGAAAACAGAGTAGTCTATGGTTTAGTTAGAGGCCATCATTTTGCTTTCGATACGGAGCTTCATCAGACCAAGTGCACCAACGGGTGGTAGGGACGGATTTTTTGACAAGAAGGGAAAATAAACGCGGTGTTCGAGATGCAAACATCATTTTAATCACGTCACAGGCCAAAGTGTCTTCTTAAGTGGCATATTCAAGGTTGTAAGCACCAAGCTTTTTAATGTTACATCGTTATCACACGTAAATTTCTGTCTGCTATGGGAGTAGGAGTGGTTTGATGTTCGTGCTCCGCCCCAAATCCGTCGGCCAACGACCGTCAGACTGGCTGGGTTAAGACAGCCGGCCACACACTCGATAACTCCACTGCATCCACTCAGTCTACGCAGCTGTTGGCTTTCCTCTTATGCAAGCACCTGATAGCAAGTTGAGCACTTTACCTTTACTTTGGGCTGGATGGTATTGGATGCTGCGTTCGGCTTAGGGTGAATAGATCTTCCGCTGCCCGCAAGCCTGGTTACAAGAACGCCGCACTAGTATTTCGGCTCTATCCTCCTCAGCATAGCGCGGCTCGAGAAGTTTCTTCCAATCCGAAACGACCAACTTCAAACCCATATTTCAGTGGCAATTTAAGCAGGCCCATTTTGTCGCTTTACTCACAGGCCTCTCATTACACTTCGGCATCACTGGTTCAGATCACTCGTAGTCATGTCTCTGTGACGGCGTTGACATACTAACCCACCGAACTTGTGCCGTCGTAGTGTAGCCAAACGACGCGGTCATGCAGCATAATTTCTATTGACGCAGTCACAACCTATCCTAGCACTTACGTCGGCGTACATAATGAGTCACGTTTCCTTCCGATGACTCATCCTCTCCCCTGGCGTCCGCTCGCGACAAACCTATATAATGTCGGGACCTCCTAATTGAATATTCCCTGCTGACCCCCACGTACCTCGTTTCTAGGCGTCCAATTCTGCTCTGCCAGAGTCGTTCAAAAGCACGTGATTCGCTTAGTCGTCGTCGCATCACTCTGCTTTAGGTCGGTCCTGAATGCCACAATAACGGCGCTTTTGTCTGATTTATTGCATTTTCGACCAATCACGCGTTGTTCTGCTTGGCTCAGACTCAAGACCTGTCGCCGCTCTTGATCCGTTCTCAACTCGTGTCAGGTCAGCGTGTCTCCATCTGCCCTTCCTCATTGCGCCTGTTCCCTTTTCCATCTGTCCACCGTTTCCTGGTCTTTCTTTACTCCGGCCAATTACTGCCTTCCACTACTTACACTCGCACTTTTTCGAAGTGCTTTTTCTCACGTGCCGCGGCTGTAGAGCGTTTCGGTGCTCAGTTGTCAAGTTTAAAGTTCCATCCTTTCTGACCGAATATAGCGTAGCGGCCTTCGCAGAGTTCCCTGAATTTTCTTGTTCCTGGCTGTCCATGTTCCAGGAGAACGTGATTTCGTCTCTTGGCTTGTGCCCCTACGCTGACTGGCCTGCACTTTCGGGCCACAGACATGACTTCGTAGTTACGCTTATTCCGCGCTTGTCGAGTCCTGGTTTCCCTTCTGACGGTTGCTTCCAAACTTTCGCGATTTGCTGCTGGAGCTCCCCACCCCCCACGTACGTTGTACTTGTATCAAGTGAAATTCTCGTTTGTCTGCCCAACTGTACTTCCAATGGCACAGCTTTGTTTATGGAATGTTTGCTGGCTGTACAAGCGAGAAGAATCCCAAGTAAGCTACCTCCCAGGCCAACATTGTACAGTTTTTCCAGTCTTCATTGTCAGGTTAAACCGTTAAGTTAACCCGTTGGTTTAAGGATGGTAGGGTGACATGCGTCATCTCTTAATGTTCCACTTTTTCAGTACTGTCTGAAATGCCTTCTACTCGAAACTGGGTCCTTGGTTGTTAATGACACATTGTGGGATTCCATACCTAGAATGTGAACGGCTGTGCCACCGTCTAACTTGTTTGATCCTTGATCGCCACGGCTTCTACCCATCGAGTGAAGTGGTCGATCGTCACCATACACTTACTCAGTTGACTAAACCCTTACCACAATGGCTTTCATTCGTAGTGCAGCCGTTTACAACCTTAACTCAAAAACTATGATCCTATAATCACGTAAATGGCATTCACGATGCCCTCAGTGAGTCGGTGTCGTCCCGCCTTAATCGGACACCGCGTTTGCTCACCTAAGCCATCCGCTCGTCTAGGCGCGCACCAGCACTGGACAATACTGAGGTGGAAACAAGAGCTCGCGCATAAACTGGCTCAAACTCCCAAAGCATGGGATGTGAACGTTAGGCTACATTAGCACATTTCCAGACGAACGCAGATGTTGCATTTAATTTGTCCGGAACAAGAGATCACACCCCCTAGTCTGGTAGAGCGCTTTGTGAATGGAGTCCAAACGGATTCCCACAGAGGACTTGATTGAACAAACGTGATGTCTTTTTGGGGCCACGGAATAGCAGGCTGACTGACGGCATCGTGGATGCCATTTTCATGACTACCAGATCATAGTTTTGCGCTAAGGACTCAAACTGCTACACTACGGATGAAATCCATTGCGTTAAGTATGCAGTCAATTTGGAACTGATATTTTGGGCCTTTTACGCAGTGCACTACACGCATTTTGCAACATTTAGAACACACTGAGGGGACCGGTTTTTAGGAAACTCTTTAGCACCTTTGTTATCTAACACTGGTGTACATAAGTGCTGAATCAAGAACGTGTCAGCGGTTCGTGCAAATCACGCTGTGGTATGCTTTAAAAGACGGATTTCATATCTCCGGCGATGAAATAGTACCTCCTGTTTCTCGTTAGTAACCAAACGTAAACTCACGCACAGGGTTAACAAGATGCTTGAGCATCGGGAATGTTAGTCAATAACTAAAAGGCTACCATGTATTTTTAATTCCAGACCCTGGTGATGTTAAATGAAGTTGCAAGTAGCTGATGTGATACCTAAATTCGAAGGAAATGAACATAATTTGGAATGCCTTATAAAACCGAGATAGTATCTAACAAATATACAGGGCATTTAAACAAACGAGTTCACCATACAAATAGAATTTCGTTAGATCGGAACTTCCATTTAGGCTCACTTTCATTTTAATGTAAACATGGCAGGAAATAGACCATAATAATCACGGGGAATCTCTAGAGGTGCAATGAAGTGATAGTTTCATCAAATTTCGGGAGTGTTGTGAAAAAAATGAAAAGAAATTTCTACAACATTTTGTACAATATTTCTGCTGCAGAAAGATACAACAAATCAGCTATATTGTAAAGTATAAAAGGCACATGTGTTTTGAGTTGCGCAAGAAGAAATCCTACTGTTCTGTTGAATATCAGTAGTACTGCGGTAGAAGCCAAACGCTTGTCTGTAACAGATTAGACAAGATTTAACAACAGGAAGACGACTGCTGACATTTGAAGAGGCATCTTATGGACCAGTGAGTTGAAGGCAGCGTTTCGCTGATGCTTCGGCGTGTGCGTTGATGCAGGGGACCGAAATGCCGAAGTACCAGCTCTGGCGGCTCTTAAGGACGCATGTCCAGGACCAATTGCAACGGGTCCCATAATCGCGAAGGTTGGCACTGGAGTAAAATTAACCAGAAATGGTAAAAGCATTGCGTAGACATAACATAATTCCTAGAATAATTGCAACTACATTAGCAAACACCAAGGTAGAGCAGACTGCATGCGAGTTAGCCATAGTTGTTTGGACATGCAGTTAGATTTTGCAGCATGTCAAATTTGACTGTGCGTCATCCGCAGATAGAAAGGCATGATGATAACCTCACCTCTTGGCGTCGTTCCTCTATTTAGTAAATACGGCGGAGGAAAGTGGGTGGGATCCGGCAAGTCTGGTAAAGTGTATAGTAAAAAGATAATTTAGAGTTTGTGTATGGGCCCGTAGCTATTATATGTGCTATCCACTATCATGTCAACTGTGTATGAGTTATGCAGCAAAATCTTCAGCATGAACATCATCTACTTGCCTGCATTATTGGTTTGGTCTTCCCAATCATTTGATTAGGCTGCTCTTCTTGCACCATTAAACAAATCAGTCTAGGTTAATGTTGAAATGACTCAGTGGTTAAATGCAGACTACTTATTTCATCGAATATTACATAAAAGGAGCTAGTTTCTTGAGTAGCTCTCGGTACTAATTAAGAACGCCAGCAATGCACTGTTATACCAACCCTGGCCTTTGAATTTTCCACCTGGACACGGAGAAACGTCAAGCGGCACACAGCGCCTGAAGTTAAACTTCGAAGCTAAATCCATATCGTGCTAAGAAATAAACAAATTTTAAGTCATATTTTTTATCCGTTAGGCGCAATATTCCTAGTCAAGTCTCATGCAGATAGCTACGAGCAAGGTAGTTTTGCTGTAAAAGCATGGCTTTCAACATTTTGATGTCACCAGTCAGCTGCGCCACTGCAACTACTTTTAGCCTTTTAGATCAACACATTTTAATGTTCTCTCCATTAGCTCTAAGGCAGATAACCATCGACTTATCTGGAAAGCGCCTGAGGGTTGTTTTCCCCAGTTTTGCTTAGGCGGTAGTGTACGTCATCCGCCAAGAACCAGAAATGTGAGATGTCGACACAAAGGACTTATAGAATGAAAACATAAATGACGACGTAATCCTGTCATAACTTACAAGATGGTTACGACTTAACTTTTATCATTACGCACGTCACAAACATTACAGAATACATGGTTGGTCACTTGATCTACGGCCTTCCGCAGTAACGGTCATCTAAGATGGCATTTAGTAGCTTTGTGGGCTACTGCCTTAAATGCCTGAGAGTAACGGATTTTGTGGCAAATTTACTAAAGGCTGTTCACAGTGGCTCAAAGACGGACGTAGTGCCGCATCAGATAGTGCAGTCGAACGGTGCGTGCTAATGGTAAATATCCCTTGGACGAAATGACCAAGGAATTCTTCTTCGGATGCGCGGAATAATGTCTAACTTGAGCTATTATGTAGAATGATTATTAAGATTGTATTGAAAGTTCTTTCTTAAAACTAATTACAGTGTTAATAAACTCATAAAAAGACAGTTGCAACTCTTTTAATTATTGGTAGTTGAATATGGTGTTTGTATCAATTTGCTGCAAACCACTGAAGTATGCAAGGCCCATGAAAATCAAGCATGACAACCAAGCTCGTTTTCCGCGCTGCATCATCAGGATAGCTAGAACAATAAATGAATGGTTAACATAAAGCAGGCCGTGTGAAGTTAGTTTTGATTGCAGTGTTATTTTGAAGTAGACATTATGTGATTGTATCCTGATGCCTGATATCTTTAACGTATGGAATAAGCAAGGTCGAAACACGCCGTGGCGCGCAAGTTTTCGATTGGGTAACACCCAATTCCCATCTGCTTCAGCTACGGTCCCAGTAATAGAATCGGCCAAAATTCACCTTAATGGAAATCACGGACGACATTGAGGTTGCGCTTCGCAATACTGTTGCACATTATGTACTACAAAATGATGATATACTCAGTCACTAACTGTCGTGCCAAGCGTTGCCCGTCGTGACCCATAGGCTAAAGAGCAGAAGTCTAACTAACTTCGCAATAATCCAGGGTTCCAGACTGCCATCTTTATCCGATATGATGGAATTTGATCGAAACTCTTAGTAGTGTTCAGTTTTTTTTATGAGGGCACCTCTCAACTTCTGGTTTAGTGTAGTTTTTCGACTTGTTCTGACGATTATCCTCGTAGCAGATATTGAGTGTGCGACGAATGGCAAGGGCAAAGCAACAGTTCCCACACATTGTCTGTGAACAAATATAGGAAGGTGATTAACGCGTTTCTTGCTGGCGTCCATCATAAATGACATTTACTAAAATCTGATTTATGGTTTTGCATTAATCCTTTATTCACAGTTTCTTTGGTGATGAACTTAGACAACACACTATTCTTCCTTTTTTGAAATCATTCTAGCCGGTCGGTTTTTTTTCGAAAAATTGTTTCCCTTTCTTGTATGATCACAAATTGCTAATAAAATCAAAAAGCTAAAAAGCTGAGTGTACTTTAAATAAGTTTTCATTGTAAAGCACCAAATTTTTGCCACATTAGTTTTAAATTATATGTCACTACCTCATGTAATCATGTAAAATATGGGATATGTATTGCATGCATGAGTTGCAACCATCCGCCTATTTTAAAGGACGCTAACCAGACACTGTCGTGACGTGCAACTTGGAACTGACTAAGATATTGGCAACACGATTGAAAAATTTGCACATTTTGTTAGACATTTTCCGATATATTGGGCTAATACTATTACGGCGTGAAACACTGCATTGTACTAACCTGCTTTCTCCGTTTTAATCTCATTATCAGTGTAAACACTGTAGGCAGACTATAGTTTAACTGGTGACATCATGTTTCATCTACAGGAATCTGGAAATTTATTTTGCACAAGACCTTATGACAATAAAAGAAGAAATTGACGATGTCCTCGAAGCTAACGTTTAGGTTTCGACTACGGGTGATGCACAAACTTCTGCTGAAGATGATATCATTGAAGTGATTCGAGACGTTGGATCTCTTGTTGATCAGTTAGCGAGGCAGTTATTCATTGTGGCATTTGTAATTGCAGATGCTCTCGATGGTGAAGCATGCGAACAGGAACCAGGAGACAATATAACTTTCCAAGAAGAACTTGCTTCACCTATGCTTATTTCTTCAGGGAAACACCCAAAGGATACCAGATCTAGTCCATGGAGGAAAGAGAACTTATGTCTAGGATCAGAGAATCATAATTATTGGTATGAATGTGAACCTGAAATTTTAAAGGAGGAGCTTACACTGCCGTTTTGATAACGCATTTGTTGAGCACATGATAAGGTAGACAACTGAGTACGCCAATTTAAAAAGTGAACATTCATTTAGTATAACCACGGCAGAAAATGCGTGCTTTTCTCACTATTCTCTTTATCTCTGGCTATAATCCATTAACACAAAGACACATGTATTTGGATCCTGAACAACATGTTCATAATGCAGTCATCAGTCAAACAATGAATCGAAACAGATCTGACAAAATCAGGAAAGGCCTACACCTGGCAAACAATAGCATTCCGCAAGCAGATGACAAATTTGAAAAAGTTTGGCCACTTTATAACCTACCCAATAAAAGATTTCTGCAATTCTTCCTCATGGAACAAATTCTATACGTAGATGAAAACATAATACCAAATTCCGGCCGTCATGGACTGAAGCATCGGAGGCAAGTCTATTAGATTCGGGTCTAAACAATGGGTCATCGCAACAACTTACGCTATACCGCCTATCTGCATCTCTACGAAGGAGCTCAGGCCATATATGACAAACGTTAGGTTTGGGATAGGACGTCGTTATGGACGTAGTTGACAAGCTCCCGAAGAAGCGGTCCTACCATATCTCTTTTGACAATATTTTTCGCAGGCCTGCCGCTCACAAAAGCATTAGTCAGCAAAGGTATAAGAGCAACGGGAACAGTTCAAGCAAATAGGACAGAAAATGGCCCCATCGACACAAAGGCCCGAGGAATGCTAAACAGGGGTACTTATGACTACAGTTTTGATAAACGACATGATGTCTTTGCTTTGTTTCAATGAATCATGGGCAATGCTGGTTTTTCAACAAAGCAAAGATTCCAGTTTCATTGAAATGATTAGGGAACACATCCCAGCATGGTTTTACAAAGACGAAATGAGGTCTTCAGACAGCTCAATCATGTCGCACCTTTTGAATGTGGCCATACAGCTTCAGAGAATGACTTCAAAGTCATCTACTCACTACCTGAACACGTCACCCAAGGATTTCGCATACAGCTATTATCCATCGCCGAGGCTATCTACATTCATCACCTGAAGCCGAAATTATGTGTACAAAAACGATTCATAAGGTCGATATAACTACCTCGGCTAACGGACAATGTTACTTAGTTATTTGGTTGTTACCTTACCTATTTAATTACTCTGGACTACTGAGCTTTGCGTATGCATGTTTATTTAGTTTTGGTTTACCATCTCTATCTCTGTCTCAAGTTATTGCTTTTGATTATTCAAACTGTCCCAACCCGCGTTGACGCTTTCCCCACAATCAGTGCTAGTTAAACGTTTGGGTCCGTTGAGTGTTTACCTAAAAGAATACTTCACCCTGAATTGTTTTCTAATATTGTTCGCTTTGTTTTGGAATGATAATTCCGTTGTGGTTCTTGCCAGCAAATATGTTGGTGAAGCGGTGCAAGGCTAAGGACAGATGCACATACTCATTGAACAACCTAACATCTTTACCAAGTATAACACATGAACGGGAGGTGTGGATCGATTGGACCAAGATGTTGGCCAGTATAGAGCCAATTCTCGCAGTAAACTTGTTGGTGTCCGCTATTCGACTTTCTACCGGATGCAGCAATGATTATTGCTTGGATTTTGTACAGAAAGTCACTTGCACCTAAACAAGAGCAACATGCCATGCTTTCGTTTAAACGATCTGTGATAAAAATCTATTTGCGTATCTAGCCGACAATAATGTCCCCAAAATCTTCATACACACAGTAGAAAACTGCAAAAGGTTGAAGACAGCATCAGGAAATCTTATTCTGGACATCACTTGGAATCTGTGCCGAAAAAAAGAAGACGCTGTGACTATAGGAAGAAGGCTAGTCTAATCTGCCCGGTGTGTGATGTGCCATTACACAATGCCTGCTCCGCGACATACCATGCGGTAATGGTAGAACAACTAGTTTGTGTAAGTTTGAGCTTCATATTCTCTTATATAGAAAAACGGTGACAAAGCTTCTTTGAAATAAATATTAAATATTGTAACATCACATCTGCAAACAATTTTACAC